TGTCTGTTTACTCCTCTGGAGCTCTATCCGCGGATCAGGTTCCCAGAGACACTCCACAAGGGCGCATTGTGGAACTCGAGGGCGGAATTAACAGAGAGATCATTAAGCGCGAAGCCAAAGGGGTCGGGATGGAGATGAAATAAAACCTGCATACAGTTAAGGCCTAGGCTGGGTCACCTTGAGGGATATGAAATGAGCGTTTTGGACGGCGACCAAAAATGGGGCCGACCAGATACTATTCCCTCCCTCCCCCGTTATCTAGGTCAAAGCAAACTTTTCCTAGAGTTAATGTACTTTTTTTAAAAAAACAAATCATGAATGCATTCCTTTTTCATTTTAAGTATGCATCTCTCTTTTGTTGAAACGGTACATGTTGCCACGGAGTGAGACCTTGCCCCACAAATGTGTTTAATAGGATTTGAAACTCTAGAGGGGGAAAAGTATTGCTGGGGAATTCATCTCAATGTGTTTCAAACTAGGAAAATGTCTCAGGGTTCCTGTTTTAAGGATCAAAATCTGTCAGTCAATAAAAAGGTGTATTTCCTACCCAATATCTAGCAACTACAGATGTATAAAAAACTGAAATGTCAAGGAAGGAAGAGAAGGAAGAGAAGGAAGAGAAGGAAGAGAAGGAAGAGAAGGAAGGAAGGAAGGAAGGAAGGAAGGAAGGAAGGAAGGAAGGAAGGAAGGAAGGAGATAAGTAGGGATGGGCAAAAACTGCATTTTTGCAGTTTGATTCATGGCTGAACCATGAACTGATAGGTTGGTTCACAAACTGAACTGGTTCATATCGGTTTGTGAAACTATATATGGCCCAGAGAAAGCAGACAAGAAATAACTACCAGGAAGCTGAATGGAGTTTTAGGAAGGAAGGAAGGAAGGAAGCAAGGAAGGAAGGAAGGAAGGAAGGAAGGAAGGAAGGAAGGAAGACAGCTTTGTTGCACTGATAGTTCTAACAAGGGCTTTTAAAAAAAAAAAAAGGAGGTGCTCGAACTCTCAAGAGTGAAATGAAATTTTCAATCTATATACTGAAAACTCATGAACTTTTAAACATTTAAAAAAGAATTTTGCTGAAGAGGTTCCCAAACTCCGTTCTGGCACGTTCCCCCAGAAAAATAACGCTGGTTCTAACTACTAGGAGCCCTGTAGATAAATAATTAGCTGTGGAATCCATATCAATGTGTGAAACCCTGCCATTTTGCCACGGTTTTTTTGAACTGCCATGTCCCTGTTTGGGTTTCTTGCTTGGGTCAACAGTGTCCTTAGATGCTGCAAACGGCAGCATCAACCAGGCAGGGTCTCCATCGGTGATTTTTAACCAGGAACATAAAGCCCCTCAGGGAGAAATGTACAAATCCTGGTCAGCATTCCAAATGGGGGGGGGGCACGTGGGACTGTAGCCCCCTCTCGAAATGGCTTTTGACACTAACTGGAGTTATTTTATATCCCTCATCCCACCCCGAGAATAAAATAGCGCGCCCCACCTTTCTCCCCACCCCCCACCCCCTGTGCTGTCAATTCACAGTGGATTTGGTGCTTGGGGGGGTCAACAGTGGGATGGCTTCTAATGTCCTGGCCCCACTGGTGGACCTCCTGATGGCACTGGTATTTCTGGCCACTGTGTGACACAGAGTGTTGGACTGGATGGGCCTTTGGCCTGATCCAACATTGGCTTCTCTTATGTTCTTATGTTCTTATGACTTAATGGCAACCCTTTACGGTTTTCAAAGGCAAGAGATGAGCAGAGGTGGTTTTGCCAATGCCTGCCTCTGCATAGCAAGCCCGGATGAACTTGGTGGTCGCCCGTCTAAGTCCCACCTTGCTTGGCTTCAGATATTGGACAAGACCAAGCTAGCCCGGGCCATCCAGGTCAGGGTAAAAGAGATACGGAAGGGGTTGGCCATTGCCTGCCTCTGCGTAGCAACCCTGGGCTTCCTTGGCGGTCTCCCACCCAAGTAGTAGCCACGGCTGGCCCTGCTTCGCTTTTGAGACTCTGACCCCGTTTAGCCGACGAGATCAGGTCAGGGCCCGTGCCCTTGGCACCCAGAACTATAGCGGCCAAGCTTAATGCTAAGGAGCTGAGTGACAGCCAGTGTCCCCTCTAAGCCGAGTTAGTGTGAGCTAGCTCACAGTTTTTTAGCCTCCGGCTCACACATTTTTGTCTCCGCTCAGGAAGGATGTGGCTCCAGAGCAAACTGATTTATGCAGTAGCCACATCGTTTGCTCACAACCTTCATGCCAGTAGCTCACAAAGCAGAATTTTTGCTCACAAGACTCCACAGCTTAGAGGGAGCATCGCTCAGGACCAGTGTTCCCTCTAAGCTGAGTTAGTGTGAGCTAGCTCACAGGTTTTCTAGCCTCCGGCTCACACATTTTTGCCTCCGCTCAGGAAGGACGGGCTCCAGATCAAACTAATCTCTGCGGCAGCCAAGTCGCTCGCTCACAGCTTTAACGCCAGTGGTTCACAAAGTAGAATTTTGGCCCGCAAGACTCCACAGCGTAGAGGGAGCACGGGTGACAGCCATCAGGTACAAAGTTCTCAATGAATGTATACATACCCTATGTATATACCGGGGTGAAAACAGCCACCTCTTCTGCTGACAAAAAAGGTAGGGCTTATTTATTTATTTATCTGTACTTATAGTCCAGCAGTAGCCCCTCAGAGACTTACAATATTTTCGAGGTACATTCAAGGTACACTCACTTCAAAGAGGATGTGGACAGGGTGGAGCGGGTTCAGAGGAGAGCAACGGAGGATGATCGGGGGCTTGGAGACCAAGAAGCCCTGCGGAGTGCAGGGGGCTGGACTAGATGACCTGCAAGGTCCCTTCCAACTCTTAACATTCTATGATTCTATGAGGATAGGCTGAGGGACTTGGGAATGTTTAGTCTGGAGAAAAGGAGGTTGAGGGGGGACAAGAAGAAGAGGAGGAAGAGGAGGAGGAGATTGGATTTATACTCCGCCCTTCACTCGAAGTCTCAGAGAGGCTTACAAACTCCTTTCCCTTCCCCTCCCCACAACAGACACCCTGTGAGGTAGGTGGGACTGAGAGAGCTGTGACAGAAACTGCACTTTCAACTTGGAGGTTGGCAACTATACTTAGCCCATCCTGAACGCAAGTTGAGCTGGGTCTGACAGACAAAGGGTGGGTTGCATAGGTGAATTTGGAGTTCACGTGCGACTGTTTTTGTTTTTATCACATAGCTGAGCCGCTGCAGTTATTAGATTATTTTTTTGAGACACTGATGAGTTTACCACTTCCCTTAATGGTACTGCATGTTTTTAATGTTATATTCTGCCTTGAGCGCTGTCTGGCAGAGACTGGACTTAGAATGTAACACAAAGTATGTGTACTTGCATATATAATTGTACAACAACATACCAAAATATGGATAAAACCCAATAACCCTTACAGAGAAAAGGTCCAATTAGATACGCCAAAAAAGAAACACTCCAGGCCAGGGTCCAATGAAGGAGGCGCTGTTAGCACTCGGAGAGATTTTAATGAGCACGGGATTATGAGAAAATAATTGTTTACCAGTGCTGATTGGAAATTGTATTTTTTTAAGGCCTCCTCATATGAGATTGATCCTAATATGGACATGCTCTTATGAGAATTGTTCCTCTGCTTCTTAATTAGGGCTTATGCTGGAACGGGAAAAATGCGGTGCTCATCTGAAATCTGAGAACTAGGGTTGCCAAGTCTGGGTTGGAAAATACCTGGAGACTTTGGGGGTGGAGCCAGGAGAGGGCGGGGTTTGGGGAGGGGAGGGGCCTCAGTATAGTACAATGCCATAGAGTCCACCCTTCAAAGCAGCCATTTTCTCCAGGGGAGCTGATCTCTGTCGGTTGGGGATTAGTGGTAAAAGCGGTAGATCCCCAGGCCCCACCTGGAGGTGGCAACCCTAGTCCGTCTCCCCTGCGGTATTCTAGCTAAGATGCAACTTTTGGAAGCTGCAATCCAAAGCCCCAGTCCCGCCTTTGCTGAAAACAGAGTTTGACCTTACGTATCTTGACATAACTCATACTGAATCAGACCAATGGGTCCGCCCCAGTTAGCACTTGGATGGGAGAGAATCAAGGGCCACTACGGAAGGACAGGCAATGGCAAACCACCTCTGTATTCAGTGATGTTCACTACACTCTTGTGCAATAATCCAATAATAGAAGGCAAAAACAAGTGTAGTAAACAGACTCACTACTGACAAATTGCCAGAATGCTAAAGAACATGAAATAGAAAGTAGCGAATACAAAGTAGCCACATAAGAAAAATACAAAATGGAAATCACTGACTTTGCATGTTTATTGTATGGCTCTCCTTTTCTGAACAAGTTGTGTATTTCGTTGTAGAACACCCTGATGAAGGATGAACTTTGAAACGTTGTAATCAAACATCCGGACACAACGTCGCATTATTATATTAGTTCTCCATTATTCTGTGGATTTTTTAAAATTGTAGTGTATAATTACACAAGTTCATTGTTTTCCATTTTGTATTTTTCTTCTGTGGCTACTTTGTATTCTCTACTTTCTATTATATGTTCTTTAGCATTCTGGCAATTTGTAAGTAGTGAGTCTGTTTACTACACTTGTTTTTGCCTTCCATTATTGGATTATTAAACCACCTCTGTATGTCTTTTGCCCTGACCTGGATGGTTCAGGCTATGCCAATCTCGTCAGGGGACGGGCCATGGCCCAGCAGAAGCACCTCTGCTTTGCATACAGAAGGTCCCAGGTTCAATCCTCAGCATCTCCAGGCACAAGGACCAGGCAGTACGTGATGGGAAAGACCTCTGCCGGAGACCCTGGAGAGCCACTGCCAGTCTGAGTTAAGCAATGCTGACCTTGGTGGACTGAGGGTCTGACTCAGTATAGGGCAGCTTCATATGTTCATCTGTCAGCTCTGGTTAGTGTCTTGGTGTGAGACCACTGTCCCGGTCCAGTGGCCTCGGGACGAGGACCCAACCCCCCCAGGGACGCCCTGACCATGCCACTCACCTGGGGACCAGCAGAGGAGCGAGGCAGTGACGATGCCACGGCGACCGATGGGGCTGCAGCACAGTGCCCCGCCATGGGAAGCCCCAGGAGAAACGACCATCGCCGACCCCTGGGAGATGCGGCCACGCCGGCAGAGCACGGCCCCTTAGTCAGGCACCTCGGAGCTCTATCCCAGGAAGCGGCGAAGCGGATGCCGCTGAGGGAGGGCTGAGGACAGGCATGATAGGGAAACTAAGCCGCGGCACACCCACACCCATAACGACCTGAAGGCGTCCGGGCTTATCAAGGGGGGCGGGGCCAGACCGGGACTAGAGGAGGCGGGGATTACAGGCGGCACTGGGAGCAGGGTGGGGTATAAAAGGAGAGAGAAGCGGACGGGCCAGGGAGGAGGAAAGTGCGAAGGAACGAGACGGAGAGAAAGAGAGAGTGAGAGATGGGACCAAAGGTGTTCTGCGCACGTTGGCAGAGGGACCTACGGGGTGACCATGACCCCGTCCCCTGCCTATCTGAGGCCCCTCCGCAACCTCCTCCTTTACGAACCCTCTCCAACTCCGAGGGTCGACGCCATGGCCACAGGCGGGGCGATTCCAGGGCCGCGAACGAAGCTTGACAACCACCAAGGAATATCAGGGTCGCTACGCAGAAGAAGGCAATGGCACACCACCTCTGTTAGTATCCTTCCTTGAAAACTCTAATGCATCGCCATAAGTCAGTCGCGACTTGACAGCTCTTGAGTAAATGCTGTACTAGAGCCCCACATGTACTAGCCACTCCACTGAAAAATAAATGCCTGTATCGCAGAGTGGGGCACTGGAACTATCATGGTCTCTTCAAACACGGCCTTCTCTATCCACCCATTTTGCCACAGCTCTTTTGCATTGCAGGACTCAACTATCTGGCTCACCGCCGAACGCTCCCAGTCCTCGGGTGTTTCCCCTTCCGTGCTCTCGCCTTTTCTGTTTTGCATAAGCCAGTGGCGCTCTGCACGAAGCGCAACTGAACACTTTGATGTTCTTTTGTTGCTTCTGTACACATCTCCCTGAATATCTGAAAAGGGACTAGCCGAAGAATTAAAGCTCAGCTAATTCCAGCTGGAATATAATGGCTTCAGCAAGTTAATACACCTTTATCTTTTTATGTGTTTGCCTGCTAATTCTCTAGAGCAGTGAGTCAGTCTCGTGAAAGCTTGTGTTGAGTCACAGAGTTTAGACATCCTACTATTTCAAGAAGGGGGAGGGGAATAAAGTCCTAAACCAAAACAGAATAACCCTGCACCAAGCTTTTTCATTAGGTCTTTGAATCAAAGGAAAGAGAAGCGAGATGAAGGACTCTGCTTGTTGAAGTCTATGGGCTGCTGGGGAAATTATATGGAAACAAACACTTGAACATTGGAATGGTTTTTCACCTGCAACGGGATCATTAATAAAACTGAACAAATGGGTGAAAAAGGCTGTTACGGGCTGGCTGACAAAGACGTGCAGGGCTGGTTCTTACCTATAATCCCTTCACATCCGAGGACCAACACACTTCAAGGATACTCTCATCAGCCCTTAAAATTTAATATACACCCTCCATTTGGTGGATCTTTACAGCTTCTGCCAGGATTTCTGCTCTTGCTCCTGCCTTATCGAATAGTCTTTCAGAGGAACATGGGAAAGAACAATAAATTTCTGATGGACCTTTCACAGGGGTTATAAAACCATGTTGTTTCACATGGTATTTCACAGAATTTTGGATAGCAGACTATACAGTATGGTAGTCAAACGGTAGTTCTTCCTGGTTCTTCAGTTTATGACCTTCAGTTCGCGAACCCTGAACAGGCCAAAATTCATGAGGATCATTCATTCGTCAGCCGGTTCCTGCATATCTCTACTGGAGTATGCAGGCAAGAGAAGCCAAGCCCTCTTTCACTCTACCCATAGCTTTATCATGCTTTGCACTGGAACTTTCAGTATTTTTCTCCCAGCCTGACACCAATAGCAGAAGTCATCTGGGCTGAGAGGAAATGCATCAGAGAAAAAGTAGTCTCTAGCTACCTTTACCTACATGCTCTGTTTTTAGTTCATAATTTATTCCCCACCTCTACTGTCTTTATATATGTGATTTCCTTTCCCCTCCTACATTTCACTTTTTAACAAAAATACACTGCTCTGAAACTTAGGAAGGCAGGAAAAACATTTTCAAGTTTAATAAAAACAGAACAGATAGAATTCTAAAAAGGATCTTAAAATAAGTCTAGAGTGAAGTATATATCCTATTTATTTGAAACATATTTTACCTTACACTCTCGACCAAAAAAAATAAATAAATCTCTCAATGGAAGTTTTTGTCTAAGAATACAATACATTTCAAGTATCGAAACTTACCTTGACCTGAATAGCTAGAACACTTTAAACTTTCTGTGACATCACAGAAGCCCTGCCAATGACTATAGTTGGCTCAAAAACCAACAACCATTCACCACTGATCTTGTCCTTAAAAAAAAAATCCAATGATTTGTTTGGCACCCTACAAAGCTATTACTAGGGGTGAGCATTAATATCTACCCAAGCCAAGAATATAGCCGAAAAATTCTTTATTGGTATTTTTTGGTATATTTTGGCTTCCCAAATGTATCCAAGTTTTCTTGGGAAAACTGAAAAAGATCCCAAGAAAATCCTGGATATATTTGGGGATTTTCGATTCATTTGGGAAGTTAAGATATATTTGGGGATTTAAACTTTAAAGGGACTGAAAAACATAAGAACATAAGAGACGCCAATGTTAAATCAGACCAATGGCCCATCTAGTCCAACACTGTCACACAGTGGCCCAAAATACCAGGTACCATCAGGAGGTCCAGCAGTGGGGCCAGGACACTAGAAGCCCTCCCACTGTTGCCCCCCCCAGCACCAAGAATACGGAGCACCCCTTGCCCCAGACCGAGAGTTCCTATCTATACCTTGTGGCTAACAGCCACTGATGGACTTCTGCTCCAGGTGTTTATCTAATTCCCTCTTGAAGCCGTCCATGCTTGTAGCCGCCGCCACCTCCTGTGGCAGTGAATTCCAGGTGTTAATCACACTTTGGGTGAAGAAGGACTTCCTTTTATGTGTTCTAAACCAACTGCTCTTGGTCAGTCTCTTTAGAGAAGTCAACCCAAGGATCAGCTGTTGTGGCGGGGAACTGAGAGCTGGCCTGATCAGCCAGGGTGGCGAGGAGGTATGTTTAAACTGGGCCGATCCTCGGGCTGACTTCTTCAGTCAGAGGTAAAACGTTTGTTGGTTTTTGACCCATGTATTGTCATTGGCAGGGCTTCTGTGACGGGTTGGTGGGGAGTTGAGAGCTCCCTGCCGGCACAGCTGTGCACTGCCTTCTCCTGACGCCCCATTTAAACCAGGCAGCAGGAGAAGGCAGTGCACAGCTGGGATCGACTGTGGACCCGAAAATACCGGTATTTGGATCTTGGATTTTTCAGGAATCCAATAGACCTGTACCCAAAAAAATACCAGGGGGAAAAATTACACACCCCCAGCTATTACTTTTCAGAAAATATGTATGCTTTGAATTTTTGTATGGCACTTCACTGATCCCTACAATCATATTAAGTTTTATATAATTGTGGTTCACACAGGTTTTGGAGACTGAAAAATAAGATAGAAATCTTAATATAAGTTTTGGATTTCCTATGTCTTTGTAAAATTCAAGTGATTATAAGTCACACTTAAGTGCAACTGATGTAATTATAAGTTGATCGGTTAAGCAGAGAGAGGAGGAAAAAACTTGCCTTAATTTGATACTCTGAGATAACAAAATTAATTGGACCTCGGCAGAATTATACACCGAGATCACTAATCTAAGGGTTTTTTTTTAGTTAGCTATCTAATATCATTTAAACTCTTTGATGTAATAAAATCAAGTTCATTACTTTCCTTAATCTAACCAAAACCACTGTAGGATGCATTCTGTCAACGTTGCCCAACATTAATACTGAAACTTAATTAAAATTAGTGGTATAAATGGGAGAATGAAATATTACCCAGCCAAAGTAAAAGTGTATAGAATATGATTACAAAAACGCACAACAAAATTCAGAAAATAGGATCCCATTATTTTAAATGAGTCAGGAAATACGAAACAAGTATTTTCATTAAAACTTTCACTTTAAAGTCAGAAAAGAAAATGGTGACAGAAAAGTTAATTCCCGCCCCACACACACTTTCCCTTGTTAGGTGATAAGATTTTTTATCTTCATCTTGACAGGATGTAGAAAATAATTACAAATGAAAAGGTTATTCATAATTTTTAAATGAGTTAATTAGTAAACCCAGTCAGAGTCGCTCATTACATTAATTAATAATTGATTATACTTGAAATTAAACACAATTTTTCATTAAATCTAATTAAATATCTGCATTTCCCCCCCTCCACCTGCTGATTAGATCAGTGGGCCTGATAGCGGCTCTCTTCATTAAATATGTTTATGCTGAGCTGAACCAACTAATTTGATTTTGAATAACTGATAGTTCTTGTAGAAAATTACTAATTACCACTCGTGGTAACCACCAGTTCAACATGACCAGCATACTTCTGGCATTTTGCCAGTCTCTCCTACAGCACGAAGGAGGCGCCAGATGCGGTGTGGAAGAGACATGATTTCTTACGGATGGAATCAACATGCCAATCAACACAGTATGTGCTCTTGCAATGCTGGGAGAAGCAGAACTTTTAACACACTTCCACCAAGGAATGGAATCAGACCTCCAGGGGAGCAGGTTGGCCAGCGTGTGAGAGACAGGTTACTGGTCTGATCCAGCAGGGCTCTTCTTGAGCGGCTTATAGGTTTTTGGTGCTAATCACACACTTCCACCGAGGAATGGAATCAGACCTCCAGGGGAGCCAGGTTGGCCAGTGTGTGTGAGACAGGTTACTGGTCTGATCCAGCAGCGCTCTTCTGATGTTCTTAATCAGCCCTAGAAAATGCTGAGTCAAGTGGTCCTTGTGGTGCTGGACTTTGCTAGCACTCAGGCCGTCGAGTAAAGCGATAATCAAGTTTATTACGGTCATAGACCAGTATAATAGAAGACAAGTAAATACAGTTAAGGGAGCAGTAAAATTATA